GGTCCTTTTTTGGATCCCTATTATTAGTACCCAGAAAAGGGATCACAATTTTCACAACCACCCATATGAAGGTGCACTGGAGATCATGCAAGAAGCTAATCGAATCTTCTGGCATGCTGCTTTGCCTAAAAGCACTGAAGTCAGCTGACCTTGACAACAAGGAGCCAGGACTCGAGACTCACACCCCTCAAAAGTCTGAACTATATAACCAAATATATACCTTAGTATCATGTTGTAGTTTCCATTTTCTTTTCCATTATCCCCATACAACCCCAATATAACCCCAATATTGCCCCAATGGGCGCCCATATCTCTACCTTCCTTTCAGCTCTGAATCCTCAAGTGCAAAGACCAAACCCTGGACCCCTCGTCCAGTCATTTGCTGAGGTGCTTGTAGAAGCGCTGGTCCGGCCTAACATTTTTTGACTCCACTTGGGGCCCCTTCTGCCACTTGTAGAATGCCTGGCGGCAATGCTTGCGGTTAAGGGCTTCGGGTTTAGGACTCAAATCTTCAGCTCTTGGATTTAGGGTTCAGGGTTCAGGGCTTAGGGATTGTAAGGCTTAGACTTGTAAGTTAATAATCTTGAAAATTGAACCCTTAAACCCCAAGCCCTGAACCCCAAACCCTAAAGCCTGTTGTTTGGGCACCTGGGCGCGCGCGGTGCCTGCCTAGTTAGGATTTTCTCAAAGTAAAGTATGGGGTTTCAGGTTGAGGGTGTGAAGGGCTAAAGCTCAAGGTGCAGGATTTAGTATCTAGGGCCCTCAAAAACTCTAGGTGTATGTGAAGATTGTCAAGCAATTTGTCGGGAGGTTTTCAGGGACTAGGTAGGGATGATTTTGAAAAAAAGCCCACATCCCTGAAGCCTTGAGCAAAAGCATTTTGCCTCCAAGACATCACACCCAAGATAGGTATGAAATGAAGCTGAGATATGTCGACTTCATTTTGTAGTCTTTCTTAATCGAAATCAAGCTATGATCCACCCCCGCTCTCCCTAAAACATGCAATACGTCATGTAAGAACTGCTACCTAACACCCTAAGCCCGAAGCCCTGCCCCCCAAACCTGAGCCCTAAACCATGCGTTTTATGGTTCAGGGTTTAGGGTCGCGGGATATCCTAAGCCCTAAACCTAGGCGATTAATCTCGGGACACCCACGATCTGCAGCCGCTATTGCTCTAAATGTCAACCCTAAACCCTGAACCCCTAAAACCCTAAACTCTAAACCCTAAACCCTAAACCCTGCGCAAGAAACCCAAGATGGGGAGCCCTAGCTTCGCGAAACACGCAAGACCCTGAACCCCAAACCCTAAACCGCCCTAAGCCCTAAACCCCTACAAAACCTGTAAACTCTAAAGTTAAAGCCTAATCCCTAAACCCTAAACCCTAAAGTCTAAACCCGAAACCCTACACCCTAAACTCTAAACCCTAACACCTAAACCTCTAAAACCCTAAAGCCTAAACCTCTAAACCTCTAAACCTCCAAACCTCCAAACCCTAAACCCTAAACCTCCAAACCCCTAAAAGCTTGTAGCCTCGAACTCTTTTGGATCCTGAAGGTCCCATTTGCACCACTGCTTGGTCGCTCTCTCCTCCCACAAACCTGCACTTTGGGGAGTTCCCAAAATCTAGGGATGTGGGTAATTCCTCGAAATGTGGGTTGGGTAGTTCCCAAAGTTAGGGGTATATAGGGGTCTATAGGGGTTATTTAAGGATAATGGAAAAGAAAATGGAAGCTACGATTTAGGGCTTAGAGTTTAGGTTAGTTCCCAAATTAGGGTCTCATTTCGGCACCTCTAAATAGTACGTGCTGTGATATAGTTTATAACCAAAAGGAACCCATAATCTTGAGAATAAGCAATTTACATAATTTAGGGGTCAGGGTTTAGCATTCGGGTCTAGGGTACAGGCTTTTTCCGTCTACCGTTAGGTAGCCTTAATCTTAAAACCTACCCTAAAGCCTGAATAGCCCAAATTAAAGCCTCTGAACCCAGACCAAGAACTTTTTCGCGGTTTTGGGTCTGGGGCCTTCCGCCGTGTTTTGCTGAGTCCGGGGAAAGGAGCGGAGGCTTGAGCACTCAAGGCTCCATGTTTTAAGCTAGCTACATATACTACGGTATTAGTGTTCGACCTGAGGGTAATCAAGTATTGAAGAAACGATATGGGAGGTTCTCAAGATTCCAATTGCCCACATAGAAGTCTTGGTACGGGCCCCATACCCCCCTCGTAACTTCTTCTGAGTTTCTCAATGATGTATCAATTGGTGAATACATGTACAGTATGTATAGCGCAGGTAACTGTATAACAGCCCGGCGATTCATGATGAACCCATTCAATTTACGAAGCCCTAAACACCCACCTAGTAGTTTTCCCAGTTGGACCGTCTGTGCTTTGTACGTAGTGCTTGTGGTTGTACTGTGATCAGTCCGCTCTGTACTGTGAGCGGGTGTTTGTACGGACCAAAGGCCATGCTTCGGCTGTTGCTGCACAAGACTAGGTCCAAAATTAACCCTATCTTAAGAAATCTCCATATGGTACTTTCCATAAACAGGCAGAGCTCCAAATAATAGAACTCTTATTATAGGGACCCCATGAAACAGACCCCTATTTCTTGCAAACCCGAAACACTATAATCCACTACAAGCCTGCTCTGTCCATGAAAGTTTCTATTTGCTTTTCCATGTGATTCTCCCTCCGCACCATTCCCATAGAACCCCTACGTAGATGACATTGTATATATATATATATACATGTCCCAGTGTCCCAATGAAAGCTCCCAAATGAGCTTTTGTTGAAACGCCTACTATCCCCCCTAAAAAAACCCTACAATGGTGCCCTATATAATTCCCGTGTATAACCCCCCTTGGAGGACTTCAGACCCTAAACCCTATATAATCCCCTGAATAACCCCTGTAGGGAGTTTACACCATCGAGACGCTTCAAAAGGTGCAGGGTGTACTTTCCCGGGAGAGGAGCACGCCTTAAAAACTCTGAGAGATCCTGATTTTCTCTCCACATTCTGAGCCCCCTCCTTCACTAAAAACACAGCAGAGCTGGCATCGATAAGGGGTAAATGTCCTTGACCCCAAAGAATTCCTAAACCTTCAATCCTAAACCCTAAATCCTAAACCCAAAGCTCTAAACCCTCAACGCTAGACCCCAAAACACTAAACCCCCAAACCCTGGGCCCTAAATTCTAAACCCCTAAACCGTAAACCCTCACCTCACACCCTGCAAGGAAATTCCGGCTCTTTGGGTCTGCCTCTTTTCCTCTCAAACCACAAAGACCCTAGGACTATATCATTCAAGCTTTAAGCTTTAGGGGCTTAGGCTAGGCTTGCCAGGCAGAAACCGCAGAAGATATGTCTTGGATAGAAGGAGCAGAAACACTGCATGAAACGACAACCTGTAGAAGCAACACTTTCATCCTTGATTCAACCCTAAACCCTACACCCCACACCTCGCGCCTATGTTCATCAGATCCTCATCCTCGCGTACTTCAAGGATCCTCAAGGCAGGAACCACCCCCTCGACTTCCTGGGCTCCAGGATTTCTGGCTTGATGGTAACACGATTTTAGGGCTCAGGGTTGGGGCTTAGGGTTGAGGGTTTGGGGTTTAGGGAAAAACTTTCTAGGGCTTCAGGGGGAGTGGGGGAGGGAATAGAAGTACCACTACAAGGGTAGATAGGGAGAGCTGATTTGAATCATTTTAGGTTATCTTGTGTTCTTAGCTTCCGCAACCAAGGAGAAGAATCATGAGCCAATGATTGAGCTTGTGACGGGAGACGCGCATTTCTCCTGGACGTCCCTTTGTGCTCTGCAACCTCGAAGACAACCCCCCCACCCCAACCCGTGGGCACCTCAAAGGAACAGTTCTTAGCTGTTTTAGCACATGTTTTCAGTAGCCTTCGGCCTTGCTTCTAGGCCAACCTCGACCTGATACCAAGAAGACAGCCTTCAAAAGCAAACTCGCTCCAGGTATGACAGGGGGCTGAAATGCTGAGGCTCTGCGTGTGATTAGTTTTTTTGTGGGCCGGGCTCAGTGTCAAGTAGCTTCTACATGATTTGTAAGATTGCTGCGTCCGAGCTGCGAGAAGTTCTAGGACCCTGAGCCTTAAACCCTCAAACCTAATCCCAATCTTGGTTTGAGTAGAACCAAACCCTACATCCTAAACCCTAACCCCTACTCCCTAGGCTTAGGAACTAAAGGGGGATGATAAAGATGGCCATGCAACCATCTAGCACCAGCCCTACAAAAACTGCGGTGACTTGCTCAATGCCAGGCCGGGGACTACTAGTTGGGTTAGGGTTTACGGTTTAGGGCTTAGGGCTTAGGGTAGATGGGGGCTTCCTAAAATGATTCGGGGTAACCTTTCAGGGGGTTTCCAGAATATATTGGAATCTATATGTGGGTGCCTTTATTTAGGGAAACTACCATAGGTGTGGTTTTCCAACCATAGGGGTCCCCTTCTAAGAGTCCCTGCGATGATGAAGAATCATAGCCATAGTATATGGTAGGTATAAAAAGGGGACCCATCCATGTTTGGGAACACCCACATGTTTATTCAAACTGCCTGGATACCGAGGACAATGGACCAGCACGGCAGCTCCTCATAATGCAGGGGCCTGAATAATTACACAGGGCGTTCCTAAGATTACGGATACCATCTTGGGGGCCCTTCTTATAAGGGTTATAATATTTTGGGTTTTTTATTGGAACCCCATTTTAGGTCCAGGTGAGAACCTGCACCACAGTTCTATGTACAAGCACTTTAGGACCATAGTAGTGGTAGTCATTTATGCTTTGAGATTACCTCCTCTCCTCAGCAAGTGCCACGTGTCAGAGGTCCCTGGGTTTAGCCCAACGCCAAAGCCAGAAGCACAAAAGGCTGAAACTTCCAAAACGCCTGGCTTGGGGTTAAGAACCCCTCCAGAATGATGATTATCCGATGACTATAGCGCCTTGATTCACTGATAGCCACTTCCCCGCAGAAGATTTACAATGTAGAGCACCCCGCTGTCTCTACTCGTCAAACGCAAACAAACCCCCGAACTCTCAACCTAGGCCCTAAGACCAGACCATAATCTGGAGCCCAAAGCCTTGAACCCAGCCTTGAGAGTTCCCCCTAACAGTTTTAAATCCGCTCATAACAAGCATAAAAGTAATAGTCACAGTCATCGTCACAAGATGAAGAGGAATAAGAATGATTATGGCCCCAACACACAACAGAACCGCAAAGCCCAAACCCCCTGAGCCGCTAAATGCCCAGCTGCCGGAAGCGTCTCGTCGCGGAAGTTCTTCCGAAGCCATCGGCCGAAGAAGGGGAGGGCGTGGTACGTCCACGTGGGGTGAGCATGTCCTCCAAGCAGATCATAGGTATCGTTTGGTATCGTTTGGGTCATTCCCCCTTACAGTAACTGTTACCACAATGGGTTATAGGAGTTATAAGAACCCCCTTAATAAGGCCCCTTTAAGGACAGTTACTGGGAGGGGGAATGACCCAAAGTATCGTGCCTAAACCCGAAGAGCTGGTAAAATAATCGCCCCCTGACAATTGTCAAAAAAAGCTACCATTCTTTGTAGATAGGGGAGTCTGGGTTATAGCAACCGTAATGTCGCCCCGAAAAGGGAACAAGAATGCTGATGGCAACAGCAATCGTAAAATTGAATGATTAGTGATTAGTAAAAATGGCTAGTAATAGAAAGAACCGGCACTGGTGATTGGGAACAATACCAAGTAATAACTGTCATGTGCTCTCGCTTGTTGTTCTGGTTTGAGGCTTCACATCTAGGGCCTGGGCTGAAAAATTTCAAGCTTGAGAACTGGCGTGCAGTGAGCCCTCCTCAACTAGCACAGAACACCATAGCTCCCCAGGACAATAGCCTCCATAGGGCTATTTTAGTGGGTTGTATGATGGTTTGTGGCAGGGTAAACCGCTCAAACATGACTCAAGTGTGCCCTGACAGAGGGTGTGTATGGGAGCTATCCAAAAATCAGAAATCCTTTTTTGGCAATCATTTTAAGCCAGTTAGAATTCTGTGGGCTTCACAAGTGCGATCCGAAATTTTGAAGAACCCCAAGGGGTTTTCAGTTTAGCTTCGGACTTGGACCAATATCGAGGTGATGGTTCAGCTCTGCGAACTTTCAGGTATAAACCCTTAGCGTCCATAGGGATGTAGGATCTCTCTCTCAAGTTTCTAGAGGGTTCGTTTCAAAAACTCTCAAACTTGATCTTGAAAAGCAAGTCCACAGGCTACCAGGTTCACAGCGTTCCTGGACCCTAAGAGAAGCATCCATTCTTGCAGGATCCCAAGCCAGGTTGGAAAAGGATCATGTAGTACATGCTTCCTTTGGGAAGCTTGTCATTGCTGTAACACCAACTTGCCTAAACACGAAAAACGGCCAAATATTGTCCAATCTGAAACCCTAACATTGTTAGCGCCCTCGGGCGCAGAGTACTTCCCTTGCATCCACATGACAAAGATCTTCATTTACGCAGGTCAAATATTAAGAAGCTAACTTTTGAGGAAGTATCAGAAAGCCAGACATGTACCATTCTTCAACCCAAAACTGAATTGCTGAACTACAATATTCCAAGTAAAAATGTTTCTGTGGAAAGCCCCGGTGTCCCCAGCGCATGGTCTGGAACGTGCAGGGCTGCTTAACAGGACACACGCGCGACCAGAAACTGGCTTTGCCTCAGGCAGGCTCGCATCACCCTGAACTCTACTTGGAGGGTCTGTGGACTTAGTAAGTAGGTTGATAACCCCTATAACCCATATAGTAACCCTAGGTATCCTAGCTATTAACCTACTTATTAAGTCCCCATGACCCTCCAAGTAAGCCCTGGTTTTCCTAGGCTCAGAGTAAACCCTCAGCCTTAGGAGGCCCCCCCCACCCTGCAATAGTGGTATAATAGGAATCTAAGAAGACCCTGATATAAGCCTTATAGTACCCTAAACCCTAAACCCTAAACCCTAGACCCTAAACCAGGACCTCAGGTTTCGGGTTTAGAGCCAGTACTGCTCTTCATGCTGTTCCAGTTGCTTCTATTCTCCCACCGGCGCCCCGAACATCTTGGGCGCCAAGGCTTGCGGGGGCCGATCCAGTACCGTCTAGGGGGGACTTAGTAATAGTGGAAAGGAAAATGGAAACTACTATCCATCATTTGGGGGTTTAGGGTTCAGGATTTAGGGTTTAGGGCTTCAGGTTTTTCATGTAGTCTTAGTAGTATTTGAAGCAAATGTTTCATGCCTAGCGGTGTGCAACATCCCCTGCTCATAAAATCTTAGGGTTTAGCGGTTTAGAGTTTAGGGTTTAGGGACCTGTACATAAGGCTAAGGTGAGGCTAAAATGGGAGATTAGAAGCTATACAAGGGCTGTGTAAGGCTTGTGTTGGAAACTACCCACCTGAAGCGTCCTTAGACTAGATTGGGCATTTGGCACAGGGGTATCTGGTTTAGGGTTTAGGGTTTAGGGTTTAGGTTTGGGCACTCTAGACCCCCTCAAGAAAATGAATGTGTTTTGCATATGGACCTTGCAAAATGAGCAGTACTTCTCAAGGGACCCTAGACCCTAGACCCTTGAGCATAAGAGCCAAGACCACAGAACAGAACTCCAAGAAAATTATCCCCCCGGTTAACTGGCTGCTGTTAAGTGCATTAAGTCACTATAATAAGGAGACCCTATCTTTTGCTATATACCCATGATATGGTAACTTAATTTCAGGCCCCAGTAAACCCTAAAGCTATCTATAGTTCCTGCATGCTTCCCTAGCAACAGCGTACGACACGCTTGAGGTTACAATTCCGGCATCACATCTCGGAAGTGTGTCCCAAGGGTTCAGGGTATTCCAATATCTAGCGAATCTTATTATTTCCCATCTAGAAGCTTTTTTTACTGAAAGTGTGGATGTTCTGACACTTCCATCTTGAACCCCCAAAGTTGCACCTTGGCTTGGAAACTTACTAGCAAAGTCCTCTGAGGAACCTCTGCAGTCCAAGCATCTCCACGCAGGGCTCCAGTCCAGGTAGTGTACTGGCATGATGGGCAAGGGGTAATGCTCATCGATCTCCCGCTCCTTCGAAAACTCGAGGGATCAAAAATTCCGAGCCTGTAGGGCTCCTTCACGAGCAGATGGAAGATCTTGCCTACGACTCCAGGAACCTTCCTTAAGTCTAGAGGTCCCCGAACTAGGTGACAGGAGGCGCTGAAAAAAAAAGTGCAGGTAGTTTCAACCATCAGACTAAAGCAGAAAATGACATCAAAGAATTGAAGCCCGCTGCTGGAAAATACATCTTGAATAAATGCGGAAGCCTCAGAAGGACTGGGTTCCGGGAATTCCACAACTCTCGTATTGTCCTTGCTGAGAGACCTGATACTCAATCGAAAATCAGCATGACAGTCTGCAGCGACACTAAGACTCCCATTCTAGCACTAAGAACACAACGTTGAGACTCAGAGTCCTAAACCGTAAACCCTTGGTAGCCCAGTAACCATTTTACAATAAGGGTACCCTTTCTTCTNNTTTTCTGTTGGTATATTATATATGGGAACCCAGAACCCAAAAAGGGTAAAAGGGTACAAGTCCGTCATCTCGAAGAGGTTGTCCACCATGGGAGCAACGTACTGGTCGGAGTCCAGTCCCACGCCGGTCTATCAGAAAAGATTTACGTTTTGGCTTTAGGGTTTAGGGTGCAGGTATTAGGGTGCAGGTAAAGCAACATGGAACCCTCTCTAGATCCCTTTTGAAAAGGCACATGCTCAAAAGGGTGAGAAAGGTTCCGTGTTTGACCGTGTTCGGTTCAAGCAATGGTGGGAAAGCCTAATATTTGGGGTCAACCCTAAACCCGAAACCCTAAACGGCTTTAGTCGTGAGGCTTGGGAGGTGAAGGTGGGGGGGCCTAGGATAGCCAAACCTTTCAAAAAACTGTAGACTCCAAGCTCAAAATCCACAAGGCTTCCCTCGGAAGCCTTCACATAGCCTTGGGGTCCCCAAGAATAGGGTTCAGGGTTTAAGGTTTAGGGTATAGGCCTAGACCCTCCATGTGCCTTCACCTTGGACAGCAGGAAGCCCCGGAACTTGTTGAAGTTAAAGCTCCTGGATTAGGGCTTAGGGTTTAGGATTAAGGGTTGAGGATTCAGGGTTTCCTAAACCCTAAACCCTTCACCCTTTAGGATGTAGTAGGGTTTTGGATGTAGGTTTTCAGGTTTAGGGTTCGGGCCTATCTGTGAAGGTTCGTTTTAAGGTTCAAGAAAGCTTGAAGCTCCTGGTACAAAGGTCACGGCATCAGGCTATAGTCTCCCCTAAGTAGATAGAATATAGGGTTTAGGGTTTAGGGTATAGTCCCCCTTAAGTAGATCGAATATGGGATATATGGAGATCTTATTGTAATATACCCAAAGACATATTCTATCTACTTAAGGGGGACTATAGGTGTTGAAGCTCCGTAGAAGCTCCGCTGACATTGCCTGGAAAACGCTGAAAGGTTTAGGGTTTAGAGACTCTCTCAGGGAGCCTGGTTAATCTATCTTAGGCTCACATGCAAAATGATGTTGAAAAACAACCTGCTGTTGAGGCTCCGTAGGAGTAGAAAAGATTCCTTATCAGGCACTTGGGGATCTTACGTCTTACATGGGGTTGCAGAGCCCTCAAAACTTATGTCCAAATCAGTCCGAGCGCAGGGTCTGCTGAATCCACCCTGCCCCAAACCCCAAAAACGCATACGTGTGCCACTGTCGCCCCAGCGGGGCATAGCGCCAATAGCTTACCTCGAAACACGAGAGTTACCTACAACAACAACTTTGAAGACTATAGGATATTACCTGATTTGCACTCGGTCTTTTCCTCCCCCTACAAATCCTAAAACCCTTGCATAATCTCAGCTTCCGTTTACTTGTCCATTTTCCTTCCCATTTGATGACGCACCTTGCAATAATCTTCCACGGTTCAAGGTACTTGGCAGTTTCCGGGAGCATGTTGAGTCATGTTGAGAACCCCGCGCAGAGTGGCTTTATGAACGAACCGTAACCATGCGGGGGTTTCTCAAATAGGGAGCAATGTGTGAGGTATATCACTGGGACAGATTGATCCAGATGTAGCCCTGCATTCGATTGATAGGTTCTTGAGCCCAACTCCCATCTACAGTTCCAGGTTTTGGGGGGCAGGCATCTGTTCATAACAGCTTTCCTCCAAGGAATGTTTGGATCCTTGTTACCAGGATCTGAAAAAGTTCACAACTCCACAACTTTCAGAAACCTTGAGACTTAAACCAGAATCCCGGAGTCTAAATCCAAAGAAGAACTTGGAGTCCACCATGCAGCTCCCTAAACCCTAAACCCTTAACTCTGAAGCACTGCCGTCCTTCCCTCGCTTTGCAGAGGACGTGCATGCAGGAGCACCTAGAAACCCTTGGGTTTAGAACCCTGGGTTCTGTAGAACCCTGGGTTCTGGATTTCTCGGGATTCAGGAGATTCACACCGGGATTTTGTTCCCAACCCCCAGACTTTAGCAAGTTGTTTAATAACCCCTAGAACCCATATAATACGGCTAGATATCCTAATTATTAACCTACTTACTAAGTTCCCATGACCCTCCAAGTAAGGTTTACTGTAGGATTCAGGGTGCGCTGCATAGGGGTGCACTGCTTGGGCGGTTTAGGAATCAAGGTGCCAGGGCTCAGGGCTTACGGTTTCAGAAATCAGGCTAGGGTTTAGGGTTCAGGGTTTAGGATTCAGAGTTTAAGGTTTAGGCTAGGATTGGGGGTGTTGGGTTCAGGGTTTAGGGCTAGGGTTCAGAGTTTAGGGTTTAGGGGTTATATGGGGTTTAGACTTCGGGGGTCTGGGCTTAAGATTTAGGGTGTAGAGCTCAGGGCTCCCGAGTTTGGAGCAAAATCTGTACAGCCCAAGGCTTTCACGTTCTAGTGCTTCCCTGACGAGAGGTCAATCCTGTAGAGAATATAACTTTCAAAAGTTTGGGGCCAGTTGGGTTGGAAATCCTGTACGAAACCCTTAACCCAAACTCTACATCCTGAACCCAAAGCCCCAAACCCCAAAATCCCGAACCCAGGCACCAAGCGCGGGAACTGCTGCGGATCCAGTCCAAGGGGAATCGCCATCCCGAAGTTCCTCCGCCGGATTCTGCGGGATTTAGGGATCCAAGGATTTACGGCTTCAGAGTTTCAGAGATTTAGGGATTTAAGTTTTAGGTCTTAAGGCTTAGGGTTTAGGGGTTTGGGATCAGGGTTTAGGGTTTGAGGTCCAGGGTTTAAGGGGTGGGTTTCAGGATGTAGTGCTTAGGGTTGAGATCTTTCGTCCCCGATTGTCTCGGACACCGACATCACTTACGAATTACATACCAATCAAGAAGCCTCGCAGGCAACTCAGACGCTGAACCCTAAGTCCTGAACCCTCAACACTAAACGTTACGCACAGGGCCCTAGGCCTTAACCCTAACCCCAAACCCTGCGCCCTAAATCCTAAACCCTAAGCACAAAGCCTTAAACTCCCAGACCCCAAACCCGTTACCATCTTACATGAGCCATAGTCTAACCTCCTAGTATCCCCCTTACTAACCCCTATAATACTCGCCTATATAATCCCTATATAACCCCCCCTTTAGGGAGTTTAGACTACAGCTTACATGGGCGCGCAGGACTTCTATATGCAGAGCAAGGAACCTTCTGCTAGGAGCCCTAAGAGGTGATCCAATGGGTTCAAGGTTTAGGGGTTTAGGGCTTAGGGCGTAGGGCCTGGAGTTTCGGGCTTAGGTTTATTAAGGCTTATGGATTTGGGTTCAAGGCTCAGGTGGATAAAGTGCTCTCTGGCTGGAAGAAGCAGCCCGTGCTTAGAGTTTGGTGATGCTGGAATCCCCCCGGGAAACCTAAAGGCTGATTGCACGTGTTTCGGATCAGGTTGAGGCTTCATGGAACCCCTAAAGCCTGCGAAGTCATGGCTCGGCCACTCGTTTCAGCTAGGTAGGTGTTGAGATATATGATATGTGGCATCTATTGGCAACAAACCTGCGAAATCTATCCAACCCTGGCTACCCATGAACCACAGTTGTAGAGCTTAGGGGATATCCAACCTTGGTTAGCCATAGTCCTACAAGGATACCCAAGCTTGAACCCCAAACCTACCAAGAATAAAATGTGTGGAGGGAGAAATGAAAAGGGCTCCTTTTCGAATACCCTGAATGTTTGAAAGTGTCTTATACTGAAGGGACCACAATTTCGACAACGCTTCATCAGCGCCCAAGCAGCACAGCGACGACCGGATTCTTCGAGAAGAGGTGAATGGAGCGAATGAGCTGAATCGTCTCCTCAAGGACTTTGAAGAATATTTTTTGTTGCAGTTGACCATCTGGGCTGTTATTAAACAAACCAATGAAGTTGGCTATTAAGGTTCCCCTGCACGCTCAAAAGACAATGGTCCAGACGAGGAAGGCCCCCCGCTTTCTCTTGGAGACGATGAGTTTCTTATGTGTGTTGAATGTCCGAATGCGTAGCGCTAAATCCTAAACCCACAACATGTATTCAACAACAACAACGCAGACTTGGGACTTATCGAAAGCTGAAGTGGGAAGGCTGGGAGCAGAATCTGCAGTTCAGTCCACGAATCGGCCTCTGAATCTTAGGGTTTTAGGGCTATAGGGTTTAGGCCTACCCCATAAGCACCACACCAGACATCCTCAAACAGGCGAACCACCAGGCACCAACTGCCTCTGAGAAGAAAGCACCCTAAGCCCTAAACCCGACCAGCCCTTTCACCCTAGAGCCAGATGTAACCTCACACCTCAACTTGGTAGCCCAGTAACCATATTACAATAAGGGTACCCTTTTTTCTGTTGGTATATTATATATGGGAACCCAGAACCCAAAAAGGGTAAAAGGGTACCACTGGGGGAAGCAAAGACCCTCTGACTATCCTGTGCCACTTATTCCGTGCATCGTAGAGGTTGGGGCTATACCAGAAGCTCTGAGCCCCCAAAGTCATCCCTACATCATCCAATAATCCCTCTGTTTGGGTTTAGGGTTTAGGGTTTAGGGTTAATCCCTCTGTAACCTTGTAAAATCCTTGTTTCATTCCCTTTGGGAGTATTATCTGAGTCTCGTTGGCAACTGCGCCGTGAGGGCTGGAGGCGAAGTAGTTCACGAATGCCCTTGCTATCCAGCCCTCCGAGTCAGCAAACCTTAGTACGTCGCCCTACAAGTTGATGATTTGGGGCTTAGGGTATAAGGTTCAAGTCTTAAAGTTTCAGGATAGCGGGTTTAGGGCACAGGGCTTGCGGCTTAAGGTTTGGGAGTTTAAATTAGGATCTAGGGTGAGCAGAGCCGTAGTTGATCTTAGAAAGTCCAGTGATGTAATACATATGTAGAATGAAGGCTTATGAAAAGATAATCTCAGTCGGCATTCAAGTTCCCTATACGTAGAGTCTGCCTGTTAAGCTCAGGGATTGGGAATTCGGGTTTAAGGTCTAGGAAGGCCGATAGCAATGAATAGCTGAGGTACACCCAAGGTTTACGGAGCCAATAGGACTGTGCAGGGCTGGATGAGGCCCTAACTTCTTGCATGAACTTGCAACCAAATTTGAGACGCCATCTGCCCCCTCAGCCTCTACCCCCCGAAACAAAACTGCTTATTAGGAAGCTCGTAGTAAAAAGCCCAAGCCGAAAACCTTGTTCAGGACGGGCCTAGGAGACTTTGCTTCAAGAAGCTGCCTAAATAACTGCCAAAACCACGTGCGGTCTATCTGGGGTACTCTATATGATCTATAGTTTAAACTCCTTAAAGGGGGCTATTTAAGGGATTATACAGGGAAGCATTATAGGGGTTAGGTGCTAGCTTATATCATAATCATAACCATAGAAGGAATGTGGGGCCCCAGTGTTGGTCCCTATTCAGGCCCCGAAATTACACCTGAAGCCCTGAACTCTACTCCATGATTACCAGAAAACTGAATAATCACGAGTATTTTCTGCGTATGATCTCTCTATAGTTCTTGGAAGAACATCCCGAAACCCAATGAGAAATGATTTACGCTTCTATATTATGTGTCTTCACAACTGTGATCTGCTTCAATGGGCCTTTACAGATTCAAAACCCCAAGCCCTTCGTCCCAATCCTGAGAGTCTCGCATCGCACAAGGGACCTGCTAGAACACTAAAACTGTCCAATCCTTCAAAATGCATTCCAGGGAATTCAGCTTTCCTGCTGTTACATGGTAATACCAAATAAGGGCAGCAGGCATGCGACCAGCATTATCTTGTGAACATGACGACAACCAGTCACAATTCCAATGAGGGAATTCTCCAGATGAGGGGCCCTCCTCACACTCTAAGCCTTATTGAAGGGACTCTCAAAGGTAAGCCGGCAATTTTGCAAACCCCTATACACGCCCAACCTTAAAAGCAGCACTGGCGGCTGTAGGTAAGTGTCCACGAAGCGGGGATCCAGCCGAGCTTCCATGAGCGAGCGCCTGCTTTATAGTCCTTACGAGGTTAGAATTGTAATGATCGTTGCGGCTGTTGTTTTAGTTGCTGCCGCTGCTGCCGCTGCTGCTGCTGCCGCTGTCGCTCATCGTCGTGTCATATTTCATCTACAGCATAAGAGTGGCTTAGAAAAGAGTACTGGCTAGGCCGCAGAGACCTTGAAAGAACGCACACACAAATCCTGCAAGTCTCCAACTGAGATTGGGCTCTATGGGATTGAACCGACCTTAGGGGATGGAGAGTCCGAGGATTACATGTGACATCAGGACCTTTTTCCATGGCCCAAAGCCCCAATCGCAATCCAGTGCAGCTGCGCCACATCTTTTCCAGGTCCATAGCCTCGGGTCCAGCCTGACCAATGTTGGGATTTTGGTTCTGGATTTAGGGTCCATGACTTGGAGTTTGGGCTTTAAGGTTTCAGACTGCGGGTTCATGAAGTTGAGGGCGTTGGATAAAATGGTGGGGGAGGGGGCAGGAAGCTGTGACAACGGGGTGGAGCCGGCGTATGGCCGGATCTGAATAGGTATCTAGCCTGGTGACGACTTGGTCCTGGGTGAGGGGACGAGCATAGGAGCACTTCAAAACGTCTCAATGTTTGGAGGCAAACATTGCCCTGCTGCAAGACCCAGATGACAGACCGCGCGTGACGCCAGTAGCCAAGAAGGAGCTCTGGGGTTTAGGGTTTAGGGTTTAGTAGGGTTTGGGGTTTCCTGTTTAGGGCTGGACAGACAAGCTTCGGCTTGAACATGCTCTGTCGGTGGACGGCCTTATCTGAGATCGACTGACAACTTCCAAAGCATGCAATGGCACCTTTTCAGTGGTTCCTATGAACTCCAGGTTCATTGCACAGAAGAGGGGTAAGACAAGCAACAATGACGAAAGACCTTCACTCCTCAGGGCCGAAGCTTTGGAAGTTTTCCTAAATAGGGGTACCCCAGTATAGACCCCAAAATACTATAGTCCTTCTTCTTGGGACCGCAAAAGGGTAACAGCATTTTGGGTAATCCCCGTTTGCCGTGAGCACGAGGAGTCGAGCAGTCCAGCGACTCTGTGAAGGTCTGTCCAATTGGGGCATCTGAAGACGGTTGACAGAACTCCCTGGTGGTTTAGGTTGTAGGGTCTTGGGTGTAGGATGTAAGGTTTAGGGTTTAGGGTGCTTAGTAGGGAATGAGGGAATGCGTGATGAGGAGTGCTGTAGGGAATCAGGATCTGTTCCCTCAGTCCTTACTAAGCAGCAGAAAGAAAAACTGCAGAAATCGGAAGCATTATGTCGAGCCCTTCGTCAGGAGAGCAGCCACTAGTTCAAACACTTACTGACGTTTAGGGTTTAGGGTTTTGGGGTCGTAAGGTACGAAGAAATGGAAAGAAGGAGACTGGAAAATGCTGGAAAAATGATGCTGGGGTTTAGGGCCTCGGAAATGGAGGAATGAAAAAGACATGGAAATGGTATTAAACAGGGGGCTAGTATAGGGGTCTATTCCTCTATTCCGTACTCAGAATCAGTAAGAACATCTAAGAACATGGTTTGGTGGAGTGTTGGCAGCGGCTTTTCCAACACAAGCTATAGTTGCTAGTGCCCCTAACCTGAACGGGACTCTTTGTTCTCTGAGCCCTGAACCCTCGTAGGGCCTAAGCCGCCAGCTGGGGCGAAGTTGTCACAATTTGCCCAGAAAAAAACACACCTCCAGGGTGAACCCAGTACTTTTGATGAACAACATCCTGCGTGACCCTCATGTGCGCTTTAGGGTTTGGAGTTTGAGGTTTAGGTTCTTGGGGACTTAGAGTTGAGAGGTGTACTACCGTGCCGCCCTGGGCTTGTTTAGGTACATCGAATGACGCAGGATTCTTGTTGGTAGTTTCCCACAATAGGGGACCCCAATATAGACCCCAAAATACTATAATCCTTATTATGGGGACCCCAAAAAGGTACCCCTAATTTTGGGAAACTACCTGTCCATCCATTGAGCTTCACAGCCGTGGCCTTGTAGTCACTTCCCTTCAACTTGTCCCAGTCCGGTGAGCAAAAAGCTCTCATTGCCTTCGCGCCAACGGGCTTTGACAATAGGGGTATTCTCCGCAATCGGACGCAACAACCCTAAACTATAAACCGCCCTAAAAACTCCAAAATCATCTTCAGAACTGGCAAGGGTTCAAATGGACCCCCAAACAGGAAACCCCAAGAATGTGGCAGGAATATAATATACCTGCCAAGGCCCCTCTATTCCTATTACATTCCTACTATATTCTTGAGGTTCCATATCTTGGGCCCCCCATTAGAATCGTCCCCAGAAGAGTCCTTCTAGGTTCTGGAAAAGGAGACTTCAGACGTACCCAATGTCTGGGCATCAGGGATTCCGGACAGCTTGGAATGGGAAGTTCGACAAACATCATGGTTTAGGGTTCAGGGCTCCGGGTGCGGGATGGGGGCCAGTTCATTGTCCGCTTTTCCGTTATCTTTTCCGATTCTTTTCTCCACCATTCCCAGAAGCCTAGTACAACTGTTGGAAGTCGGCCCCTGGTAAGGAAGAACTCCAAGCGAACACTGTCTTGGTAGACTCCAGCAAGGTCAATGCCAGTAGCTACCCCTCAAAAATCCAATAACATATGGGCCATAATCTAATCTCCTTAAAGGGCTTATCAAGGGGGATACTAGGAGTTTGGACTATAGCTCATATGCAGTGGAACAATCTTTTTTGGACCACAAACCCTAGAACCCTTGTGGGAATGCCCTCGTTGACAGCCAACCATCTTTGGATACTGCTTCGGCATGAGGAACACGTGAATGATAGGGTTTAGGGTTTAGGGTTAAAAAGCTTAAGGACCCTAAAATGGCTGGAGGACCTTGTTCGATAGATCCTAGGGCTGCCCTGTGGATTTATTTATGCAGGGTATATACTAACTATAGAGGGATCCCAGGATTTAATCTAATCCTTGGGGTCCAGAGTTCAAGAAGAACCGTAGATCCTTAAACCCATAAGGACTGTTAAAGACTGACTGGTAGGTACCAAGGTACTGCCAGTGTTGAGAGACACCCACTCAGAGCCCCAGAGCTCCCCAAAAGGGAGTTTGTAGGGAGTATTTAAGGCGTATATAAGGTTATATAGAGGTATGCAGGAGTGGAAAAGAAAATGGAAACCACCTATCTAGATCTAGACAGAAGCTTCAAAATTGCTCGTCCATGCTGCTATCCTGAAAACAGTTATCAACAGTTATCATGGTCGTCGGGGCTGCTACAAATCCTAAACCGTCCTTTAACCCTTAGCCGAAACTCAAGACCTAGAGCTGTTCGGAATACATGACTCCTTTTAGGGTGTTGGGTTTAGGGAGGTCAGAGAATATGGGGCTTGTATGAGGACGCCGAAGATATTGGGTCTAAGGTGGCACCAGGACCGAGCTGAGGAAGCAGCATCACTCATTGGGAGTTGACTCAAATGCAAGTCCTACCCAAACCGTAAGGGAGACTTCCCTAAACCCTAAAACCTAAACCCTAAACCCTTCATCTTCTTTGCCGTACAAGTAAATCCCTAGGATCGGTCTGGGTATCCAAAATTATGATCGGACTTTGGTTCCATCTTCCCCGAACTGGACATCAAATATGTACACCCACCCATCTTCCCAAGGAACCCTTACATATACATTCACCAAACGCCAGAATGAACCACCCTGCCTCAAACCCTAAACCCTAAATCCCCAAACACTATACCCTAAACGCTAAATGCTAAATAGTAATTTCCATTTTCTTTTCCATTAGCCCAAAATAAACAGGACGGCACGGTACCATCCGTTGAGCTCTCTCCCACGGCTCTGCTTGAGCCTCGGCAGGATGGTGCTTCATCCATTGGGGTATAAGGTTCGAAGTTTAGGGTTTTGGATCTGGGGCTTAGGGTTGAGGGTTTAGGCTTGAAGGTTTGGAGTTTAGGGTTTCTGGTTAAGCATTTAGGGCTTAGCGGATGTAGGGTTCATGGCTTAGGATTGAGGGTTCAGGGCTTTTGGTTTGGAGTTTAGGGTTTCAGGTTTAGGGGTCAGGGCTAAGGTTTAGGGTTCCATTCCAAAATGCAGGTTTAGGGTCTGTTGTTTGTGGCTATCAGTCATGCATACTGTCTTTTTGGAAATGGTAATCATATTCTCCCCTAATCTAGAAATGTACTATATTGGGGGTATGTGTAGAACCCTAAACTCTAAACCCTA